AATTTTTTCACAAGTAAGTGAGAAGGAGTCAAAGACCTGATACACTGCTAAAATTAAATGCCATCCATTGCCAGCTACTTACTAAAGTGACTAAAGTTTCTCAGAATTTCCACCAATTAAAACAAAATACAGGGACTTCCCTGGTGGCTCAGTGGTAAAGAATCTGCCTGCCAATGCAGGAAACACAAGTTTGATCCCTGGTCCGGGAAGATCCCACAGTCTGCAGAGCAACTAAGCCTGTGAACCACAACTTTTGACTCTGTCGGTCTAGAGCCCAGGAGCCACAAGAGAAGCCATGGCAATGAGAAGTCTGCTGACCCCAGCAAAAGAAAAGCCTACAAAGCAATGAAAACCCAGCATTGCCAAAAATCAATTTAGTAAATAAAATTATTTAAAAATATACAATAGTATTGAAGCTAAATCTTTTCTCATTCTAGAAATACATAATATTCATCCATAGATATAAGAATTGGAAAAAAGTGATATCCTTATCCATTTTATTGAGATAAATAAGCAATAAAAATTTACATTTAACACTTAAAATTTAACAAAAAAAAATTTAATCAGCTGTGTAAAAAATTAATTATAATAATGTCTCGATCTAGAAGAAATTTTAATAGTTAAAAACTTTACAGGATATTAGCAAAAATTAAATGTGGATTCATACTTTATGGCAAGAATAAAGGGAAAATATAAAATTTCAATCTATTTAAAAGCTTTTTCATAAATATGAAATGGATGACAAAAGATATCATATTCCTTAACTATTTAGAGACTACCAATTATTTTTTTAATTTATGGCCGCTCCACAGCATGTGGGATCCTAGTTCTCCACCAGGGATTGAACATGCATCCCTGAAGTAGAAGCATGGAGTCTTAACCACTGGACCCAGGAAGTCTCATCAATTATGTTTGTTTAAGTCAAATAATAACTTCATTTGAAAGTGCCAATATATGCTGAAAATTATGCCTTTTGGAACTACCAAACTTATGATGCAATTTTTAGATGGCACATTAAAATTGTGCAAGATAGTACCTAATTTTTTAGGGGAAAAAAAAGAAGATTATTTCTCTTGACAAGTGCTTCTCAAACTTTTTTTTCTTTTCCCATTTATTTTTATTAGTTGGAGTCTAATTACTTTACAATATTGTAGTGGTTTTTGTCATACATTGACATGAATCAGCCATGGATTGCTTCTCAAACTTTTTAAATGTATATGTAAATCACCCAGGGATCCAGATGCAGTCCTAGTACCACCAGAGAGCTTATTAGAAATGCAGAATACTATGCCCTGCCCACCTCTCTGAATTAGAAGCTGCATTTAACAGGATCTACGGCCAAGTTCCTAGGATATCAGCAGCAACACCAGGCAGCTAGGCCAAGAAACTGACAAAATGCCTCTTCCCTAAAACCTCATTTATTCACCTAAAGGAAAACTGATCTCAGGCCAAACTCCCTTCTGTTATACCTCTAAAGTTTTCACAGCTTAGACTGGAAATCAACTTTAGACAAGGATACAGAAATCCTTGGGCAATGCCCCTCTTATCTTACACTTGAGCCTAATTATCTCAGGAATAGCTCAAAGAATAGCATTTTTTGTAAGCAAAACATAATCTTATTTGTTGCTGATAAACTTGAAGAATAACTGTCAAGGAAAATATATTTGATGGAATGAGATACAGTAAAGAACCAGTGTCATCAACCTAATTTCTAATTCCCTTGCGAGAACCTAGAAACTTGTCAGCCTGTCACCAATTATTTTTTGAGCACAGCCATGGTCAAGCACTAGTCTAGGTATTCAACATAGAACTTTATTCCAAATTGGTGCCCACCTTCCAAGTTTTTATTCTGGGGGAAATACCCTTCAAAACACCCAAAGAAATTTAAAAGAATAAAAAATAAGTAATTGTTAGGCAACTAGGTTTTCCTATTGTGGTTAATTACCAATAAAAAATCAATTCTCATTGCAGACAGAAAGTATTAATATTTGGGGTTTAACAGGCTATCCATAAAAGACGAAACATTTCTAAGTATGTAAATTCTGGTCTTAAACCTACTTGTTTATGGACTGACTCAAGCTCTCCATAGAACACTGTTGACAGACACATGCCCAGGTATGCGGTAACTAGCAGAAACTAGATTACTATTAATAGTTCCCTACAAGGGGCAAGGAAACACCCTCTCTGAAGTTCCATTCACTGAAACCTGACTCAAACCATGTATATTAATCCAGTAAAAATAAAATGAAGAAAGAGGCAATAAATTATTACATTTTCAACACTCACTATGCACAAGGCTATGCTAGGCACTTTTCCCTTTTTTTAAAATATATGTATCTCAAATCAGGTTTTGAGAACAGACAGACCTGGGTTTGACTCCTGATACCAGCATTTAGAATTTTAACTTCTTTGAAATTAAGTTCCCTCATCTGTAAAATGCCTGGTACCTATATTTGCCACGAATTAATTTACTGAGATAATTAAATGAGATAATATTCAGATTAAAAAATAAAGAAATAAGAGCTAAATTTTAGGAACCAGGGACTCACAGTCAAGGCGAAAGAAAGCTAGGCTAAGAAAGATATATTTGTGAGCAATTAGAAAAGTGCTGGTTCATGACAACACACAGATAACTGATCTTTTAAAAATATATTCTGATAAGGAATTATCCCATAGAACAACTTGTTTATTTCTACACTAGAGGAACAAAGAAGAAAACAGTCTTTTCTTGAAATTTCTTGAAATAGATCAATTCTATTAGGGCTTATTTCAATGCAATTCAACAGAAATTTCTGGTATTCCTCAATAGCAGAGGCTATATCTTCTTCAACAAATCTGTCCCCAATATTAAGCCAATGCCAGGGATATAGTTAATGCTCAGTATGAGTTACAGGAAGAAAAAAAAAAGTGTATCTACCACAATATAGAAGGTTATTAATTCAAAGAATTCTAAAAGAAAAAAAGAATCTATTTTTTCATGTTTCTTTTTTATTAACTGCCTAAAAAAAAAAATCCTCATATATTCTTATCTTGAAAATTGAACCAGGGGATCGGGATGGGGAATACTTGTAAATCCATGGCTGATTCATGTCAATGTATGACAAAAACCACTACAATATTGTAAAGTAATTAGCCTCCAACTAATAAAAATAAATGGAAAAAAAAAAAAGAAAATTGAACCAGCTTGGTTATCCAATTTTGTATCCATATTGAATCTTATCATCTACTTGCATTAAAGCTGAAATGGTATGTTATTTTACTTACCTATGGATTCTATATGATTCTGGAGCCAAGGGAAACACATTCCTGAACCAGAGCGCACACTCGGTTCCCCCTGTTCATCCTCTGTCGTGGGTCTTACCAATTCTTCACTGAAATCAGTCATATCTATTCCAGACTGAAAATATCAGTTACTTTCTACACATCTTAATCCACAGGTTTCTGAGTTATACAAAAAGACAGCCACTATTATCTAATAAATATCAATGATCAACAAAATTAACTGCACCTGGTAGTTCCTTTAAAGAAATTAATTTAATTATGTCAGCAGCAACCGAAATGAATGTCCCATTTAAAAACTATTGACTACTTCAACTACTACTATATTTCAAGAAGATACAAGGATAGATAAGACACTAACTCTTTAATTTAAAAAAGAAAAACTAATCTAGAGAAAGAAACATAAATGATGTATAAGGTAAAGGCGAGTGCTCAGTCGTGTCCAACTCTTTGGGACCCCAAGGAGTATAGCCTGCCAGGCTCCTCTGTCCATGGGATTTTCCAGGCAAGAGTACTAGAGTGGGTTGCCATTTCCTACTCCAGGACATCTTGACGCAGGGATCAAACCTGCATCTCTTTCATCTCCTGCAAAGGCAAGGCAAAGTCTTTACCGCTGAGCCACCGGGGAAGAACAAATGATGTATAATAAGACAATATGAGAAATACAATAACAACAGTAGTAATTATCATTCTTATTCAGTCCTCTCTATACACCAAGCCTACAAAGTATCTAATTTAATCCTTACAGAAATCTGGAGGTGAGTACTGTTATGTTCTTCCATTTGCTTGTCGAAAAAACTGAAAGTAACCTGGACCAATGTCACAAAAAAGTGAGGACAATATTCTGTGTTCCCAAACACAACTGACATGAACAGAGTTTGGGTTGTTCATGGAAGAGGGAGACGGAAAGCAGATGGCGGGAAAAGAATCCACAGAAACAGCTTTGTGCCAAGCTGAGCCTGTACTCAATCCTCAAGATGCTCAGGACTCCTCGATCTCTTTCCACATATCCAATTTAGGTCCTGCTGGCACTACCTCTTAGTACTTCTCTCATCTTCGCCAAGCTCCGCAACTCTAACCACTCCCCCAGCTCAGGACTCCTTCAAACGGTGTCTGGATGGCTGCATTAGCTTTCCAACTAGTAATCTTGCCTCAAATTTGGCTTCTCCACATCACCAACCGAACAAACCTTTCAAAATCAGATTAAAAGCACGTGTTTGAAATAACATGAGTTTTGAACCCGACTCACACGTTAAAGAGTCCTTCCAGAAGAAGCTCTCCCAACCCAAATTCTAAAGCCATTTAGGCGTCGTGCAGTTGTCACAGTAACCAAAGCAGCTCCACCCCTTCAGGCTTGCCCGCCGAACGCGAGGTTTCAGAGTAGGAGAGAAAATGTAAGAACACTGGTGAAGCCTAGGGTAGGCCTTCCTCTTCCACGTGAACGCAGGCAATAAGAGACGGACGACAACCGCGGGACTTACCTGCCTGAAGCCAGAATTTTTCTGTGATACCAAACTCAGTCTCCCGACTCCGGACCAGCAGGAAGAAACCCTCACACAACGCGAAACGAGCAAGTTTCGAGAAAAAGCTTGCAAAACTAGGCTCCTGCGCTCTAGAGACGCGCAGACGCAGCCCCGCCCCTAATTCTCGATTGGGCGATGGAGGAGCCTCGACCCCGGAAATGACCCGGAAGTGGGGGTGGATTGCCGCCTTCCCATTGGATGGGCCCCAGCTTTACAGTTTAGTTTGTCTCAGCGGGAAACAGGAGAGACTTTAGTTGCAAAAGATTAGTGCAAGGGGAGGCTGGCTGGATAAGGGTAACAGTCAATAAAAGCGGAATGTCACTTTATCCGAGTAGTTCCCCGTACGACGACCTTTCAGTTACTGCTTGGCTTGCGGGTGCGCGCAGCGAGCTTCGGAGGCGTGGCTCGTGGCCCTGACAAGATAAATCTGCATAGCCTTTTAATTGCGTCCTTGAAATCTTTTTATTTTATTTTATTTTATTTAAGGTTTAGCTTTGAATTGAAATGACTGTTTCCCCTAAATTTAGGGGAGAATATCTTTCCTCTCAGCGAGGGTGGCTCTCTGCACCCGTCTGGAGTCACTTTTCATGACGAGTGTTAACGAACTTAGCAAGAAATAAGTGTTCAAAGTAAGTTTCTAATACAAAGATTTGGTTTGGCTACATTTCTTCCCAAATGTCACCAAAACCAACCTAAAATGGGTTTTACCTGGCTGGAAATTCATGCTCCCACAAAAATGGGGAAGAAATTTTTGACAAAGTTATCAGTCAACTCAAGGCAACAGTAGATAAAAGAGAGAAAGTTAGGAACTGATATCTTTCTTTTTTCTTTGACAGACTACCAGATTATTTACATTACCAGCTACACAAGTAGAAGAAACATATTTGCTGAAAATAAGTCAATAATGAGAGATAGAACCAATCAGGAGCTGTTATCTGGGTCAGTTTTCTGTGGGAAAGTAGGATAGAGATGGAAGTTTCCACAAAACCAGCTGGCTGGTGAGCACTTCCTCTAAGCGCTGGAAACATCAGGGCATTCAAAAGCGATCAAATCAGCTGGAAAACATGCAACAAAACTGCATGATTTAGAGGACTTGACATGGAATCTTAGTTCTCTGACCAAGAATTGAACCTGGGCCATGGCAGTAAAAGCGCTGAGTCCTAACCACTGGGCCACCAGTGAATTCCCACTTAATTATTATAGAAATAATTTTACCTACTGCCTGTCAACCCTCATTTACCTAAGTTTTAGTTGAGAAATATGTTCTTTTGTTAAGAATAAAGGGGGAAAATTCCTCTACAATATTCCCAATAATTTAAATATATCCATGATTTGAGTACTAATACAAAGGAAAAAAACAATTCAGTTTTAAATTCAGGATAGGATAGTACAGAAGAGGGAAAAAATGTGGGAGTGTGGAAGCAGAACAATATAAGGCCCCTCTCAGAGAAGGGTAATACAAATTCAGACGTGTAAGGTATCTACTAAGGTAGTGTTGCTGCTGCTGGTTCCACTGCTACTACGTCACTTTAATGATATATATAGGGCTTCCCAGGTGGCTCAGTGATAAAGAACCCACTTGCAATGCAGGAGACTTGGAAGATTAAAGGGGGAAAATTCCTCTACAATATTCCCAATAATTTAAATATATCCATGATTTGAGTACTAATACAAAGGAAAAAAAAATTCAGTTTTAAATTCAGGATAAGATAGTACAGAAGAGGGAAAAAATGTGGGAGTGTGGAAGCAGAACAATATAAGGCCCCTCTCAGAGAAGGATAATACAAATTCAGACGTGTAAGGTATCTACTAAGGTAGTGTTGCTGCTGCTGCTTCCACTGCTACTACGTCACTTTAATGATATATATAGGGCTTCCCAGGTGGCTCAGTGATAAAGAACCCACTTGCAATGCAGGAGACTTGGAAGAGACATGGGTTTGATCCCAGGGTCAGGAAGATCCCCTGGAGAAGAAAGTGGCAACACACTCCAGTATTCTTGCCTGGGAAATCCAATGGACAGAGGAGCCTGGTGGGCTATAGCCCATGGGGTCGCAATAGAGTTGGATACAACTTTGCAACTAAACAACAACATATTTTTTTTCTTAGATTAATATTATTATTTTTTTATTTTACAGCTAAGAGAAACATATGTTTTTTTCTTAGATTGATATTATAATTTTTTATTTTACAGCTAAGAGAAACTATGAAATACAGAATTTTCACAACCACAGGTGATTTATTAACTGGTCAGATTTTAGCAAAAGTTACAAGCAATACTTCTGGACTGGGAGGTTAGTACCATTTCTACCAAGAGGAGTTTGGAAATTACTGTGTATGATCTGTAACAAGTCTGTTGTGGTTGTATGTTTTATCAAGACCATATTTTCTCCCTCTCAGTGTCTCCTTCCAGGAGGCACTTTTGACCTCACAAGCATATTTTGGAGGGAGTTATAACCCTCCATGCTATCTTTTAGTAACAAAGGAGGAGTTTCCAGGGTAGGTATTATCAAAAGTGTCCCCTCTGACAAAGTCATTGATTTGCTGAGACTTTTCCTTGGTGGCTCAGATGGAAAAGCATCTGCCTACAATGCAGGAAACCCAGGTTCGATCCCTGGGTTGGGAAGATCTTCTGGAGAAGGAAATGGCAACCCACTCCAGTACTCTTGCCTGGAAAATCCCATGGACAGAGAGCGTGGTAGGCTACAGTCCATGGGGTCACAAAGAGTCGGAAACAACTGAGCAACTTCACTTTCTTGTATCATCAACCATCCCTATTGGCTGTAAGAGCCTGAGATTCTGCTATTTATTTAAACAACATAAACGGACAACATTATAATATATTATCCCATTTCTTCGTATAGAAACATTATGAGGTTTTACCATGAGCCACAATGTTATAGACAAGAACTGTTAAGACTCAAAAAAGTTAGCAGCTTGCCTAGGGTCATACAGTTAAACTTCTGATACCTATTTTAATGCTTTTTACTCCATTCTCTGTATCTGCTAATTGTCCTAGTAGGGAAGTAATCCCTATCTGAAAACTGTAAATAGATAAAGCCAAACAGTCTACACTGTGGAAATTGTGTTGTACAGGCCTCACCCTGGTATTTGTTCAAAGCACCAAATATTTGACTTCTATGAAAATAGTGCCAAAGTAAATTAGGCAGACCCGGAAACAGGAACTTCTATATAAGCCTATATTCTCCTGGCAATTTCATGTGTTTGAGTTTCTTTCTTTGTTCAGTAGAAATGGTAATAATATTTGTTAGGGCTAGACAAATAGTACATGCTTATAGAAGACCTTGCCTTGGATATGACTCACTCCCAGTAGAATATACCCTTTGACAGGACTTTGACGTGGCTTTTCAATTGTAGGAAAATAATTTAACTCTACTGGCCGTTTCCAATGCAAATCTTCAATTCTCTTTGGCTTTCAAACAGGATACTGCTTAAATTCCATTTCAGTTATATGATCCATTTACTTAAAGTCTGATAGCTTTCTGTTTTCACTCTAAATCTAAATTATTATGCTTTATTAATAATCTTTAATAATCTGATTTACCCTCACCACCCAGATTGTCTCCCACTACTCTTGTTTTAAAATTTTTTATTGAAGTATAGCTGATTTACAATGCTGTGTTAGTTTCAGATATACAGCAAAATGATTCAGTAATACATATACATATATCCACTCTTTTTTAGATTCTTTTCTCACATAGACCATAACAGAGTATTGAGTGGAGTTTCCTGTGCTCTATAGTATGTCCTTATTAGTTGTCTATTTTATGTATAGAGGTGTGTATATGTCAATCCCACTACTTTTTAATAGCATCATTTCAATCCAGTAGACTAGGTCTCATCACTGTCCTCTTTTCTCCTATGCTTCTTTATTCCCATCCCTACCCTCCCTGCTCTAGCACCAAGCAACCACTGTCATTATAGGTTAGTCTGAATTGTCTAGAATTTTACATAAATGCAGTTTTACAATGTGTATTATTTTTTTGGATTGGGGTTATTTCACTCAGAATCTCTTTGTTGGTGCTAGTATCTGTAGTTCCTTATTATTGCTGAGCAATCTTCCAAACTTTAACATCTGTTCACCTGTGAAAGGACAGCTGGGTTTTTGTTTGATTGGTTTTATTTTCACTGTTAGCAGTGAAGCCACCATGAACATTTGTGAACAAGTCTTGGTGTGGATGTATATGTTTAATTCTCCTGAGTGAGCACCCAGGAGTGGGAATCCTGCATTTGTATGATAGGCATAATTTTTAAAGAAACTGCCACACTGTTTTCCAAAGGAGTTGAGTCGTTTTAAATTAGAACCAGCAATGTAATGAGAGATCCAATTATCCTCATCCTTGGCAGCATTTGTTATGATCAGTCTTTTTAATTTTAGCCATCTAGTGGATGTGCAGTGATATCTCATTATGGTTTTAATTTGCATTTCCCTGATGACCAATGAGACTCTTCCCTGGTGGCTCACATGGCAGAGCGTCCACCTACAAGGCGGGAAACACAGGTTCGATCCCTGGGTCGGGAAGGTCCTCTGGAGAAGGAAATGGCAACCCACTGCAGTACTCTTGCCTGGAAAATCCCATGGACGGAAAGCATGGTAGGCTACAGTCCATGGGATGGCAAAGAGTCTAGCACAACTGAGTGACTTCACTTCACTGGAATGACTATTGGGGCTTCCCAGGTGGTGTAGTTGGTAAGGAATCTGCCTACCAGTGCAGGAGCTGCAGGTTCGATCCTTGGGTCGGGACGACAGCCTGGAGAAGGAAATAACAACCTCTTCCAGTATTCTTGCCTGGAAAATTCCATGGACACAGGAACCTGCAGGCTTAGACGCAATTGAAACTGGCTACGAGCACAATGACTGATGATATTGAGTATCTTTTCTTATACATATTTGCCACATTTGTATCTTCTTTAGTAAGGTATCTGTTCAAACCTTTGATCTACTTTTTTCAAACTGGGTTGTTTTTATTCTTATTAATGTTATAGTATTTATATATTCTAGATACAAGTCCTCTGTTGAATACATGATACATGCTTTGCAAATATTTTCTCCCAGTCTGTGGTTTACCTTTCCATTTTAATAACTGAGAATTTATTAATAGAAATGAGAGCAAATGTTTTTATTTTTATAAAGCCCATATTAATTTATTTATTTTAGAGTTTATGGGTTTTGTGTGTATTTTTTCAGTCTTAGTAAACCCAAGGTCGCAAACATTTTCTCCTATAGTTGCTTCAAGAAGCTGTTCTTACATTTAGGTCAGTGATCTATTTCCAATCAGTTTTTGTATATGGTATGTAGTAAGGGTTGAGGTTGATTTTTTTTTTAACCAATGGTTATTCAATTGTTCCAGCGCCATTTATTGTAAAGATTAACATTTTTCCACTGAACTGCCTTGCCATGTTTGTTGAAAATCAACTGCCTCTATATGTGTGGGTTTATTTCTAGAATATTCTGTCCTGTGGACCTATGTGGTCTGCTTATAGGATCATCGAAAAAGCAAGAGAGTTCCAGAAAAACATCTATTTCTGCTTTATTGACTATGCCAAGGCCTTTGACTGTGTGGATCACAACAAACTGTAGAAAATTCTGAAAGAGATGGGAGTACCAGACCACCTGACCTGCCTCTTGAGAAACCTGTATGCAGGTCAGGAAGCAACAGTTAGAACTGGACATGGAACAACAGACTGGTTCCAAATAGGAAAANCATCACCAACATAATGGACATGGGTTTGGGTAGATTCCGGGGGTTGGTGATGGACAGGGAGGCCTGGTGTGCTGTAGTTCACGAGGTTCATCTTTGCTATTATTATGATGACTCATTGAAGGCTCATAAGATGGTTATTATTTTTAATCAATAAAGCCTTCTTAAAGTAATATACATTTTTTAGACATGATGCTATTGCACACTTAATAGACTACAGTATAGTATAAACATAATTTGTACCCGCAGTGGAAAACCAATAAAACTTGTGTATGTGTGACTTGCTTCTTTGTGATATTTGCTTATTGCCATTGTTTGGAACCAAACCCACAATATCTCTAAGGAACACCAGTATTTCCAAGGTGCTAAAAATTTTTATCAAGAATGGATATAAGATTTCATCAAATATTTTTGGTATCTATTGAGATGATCATATTGCTTTTTTTAATTTTAATATGATAAATTACATAGAATGGGTTTGAACATATTTCACACTTAAGTTTCCTGGAGAAGTTTGTAGTATACAGTTGATATTACTTTTTTCTTTAATTTTTGGTGGAAATCACTAATGAAGCTATATGGGTATGGAGTTTTCTTCGTTGGAAAGTATTTTTCCTTGTGTGTGTGCTCAGTCACTTCAGTTGTGTCTGACTGTGGCCCCATGGACTGCAGCCCTCCAGCTCCTCTGCCCATGGGATTCTCCAGGCAAGAATACCAATTAATTTCTCTAATAAATAAATACAGGGTTGCTCAGATTATCTTTTTTTAAAGTGAGCTTTGGCACTCTGTGTTTTTCAAAGACTTCATTCATTTTATCATAGTTTTATCATTTATTGACATAAAGTTGTTGATAATATTCTCTTGATATTCTTCTAATGTCCGTAGGATCTGTAGTTATATCTTCTGTGTCATTTCTGATAGTGGCAGTTGGTGTCATTTCTTTATTTTTTCAGATCAATCTGACTAGAGGTTTCTAAGTTTTATTGGAGTTCTCAAAGTCAGCTTTTGTTTCATTGATTTTCTCTATTTTCTTTTTGTTATTTTATTGATTTCTGATTTTATCTTTATTAGTTCCTTTCTTATGCTTACTTGGGCTTTAATTTGCTCTTCTTTTTAAAGTTTCTTAAGGTAGAAGGCGAAGTTATGGATATGATACCTTTCTGGTTTTCTAACATAAATGTTTAAGGATATAAGTTTCTCTCTAAGCAGTATTTTAGTAACATTTCACCAATTTTGATACGTTGTGGTTTCAATTTTGTTCACTATGAAATACTTTGTTCACTTTGAAATACTATGAATACAATAAAGCTTGTTATTTTCCTTGTTAAAGTTTGTTATTTAGATTCCAGAATCTAAATAAGTCTCCAGAATTGGAGACTTTTTGTTATTGATTTCTATTCTTTAATTTCTATATTTTGATACTTCAATTCCATGTGATCAACAAACATATTTTGTATGTTTCAAATTTTTTAAAGTATATTGTTCCTTGGCCCACAATATCATGGTAAAAATTCCACAAACACTTGAAGAAGAAATGTATATTCTGCTGTTTTGGGGTAGTGTTTTAGCCCCTATAGGTAGATATCAGTCAGGTCAACTAAACTGATGGTATTGGGTAAGTCTTCTATATCTTTATTGACTTTCTGTCTAATTATTCTGTCTATCATTGAGGGAGAGAGGGCCTCTGAAATCTCCAAAAATAATAATAGATTTGTGCAGTTCTCCTATAAATTGTGATTTTGCTTTATATATTTTGAAGTTGTCTTATTAAGGTAAGCAATTAAAATTATTATATCCTCTTGATGAGTTAGTTTCTTTAAAATTATTAAACAACTTCCTTTATGCCTGCTAATATTCTCTGCTGTGAAATCTACTTTGTCTGATAATAGTGTGGCTACTCCAGCTTCCTTTAGATTAGTGTTAGCTTGATTCATCTTTTTTTTTACATTGAACTTATTTGTGCCCTCTGCTTAAAGTGTGTTTTCTTATAACAAGCATATAATTGAGTCTTTCTTTTTTTAAATTAAATCTGAAAATCTGTATTTTTTGACAGGCATGTTTAGATTATTTATATTTAATGTGATTATTGATGATTAGATTTAAATCTATGGTCTTGATATTTGCATTCTGTCTCATCTATTCTTTGTTCTCCTTTTCTGTTTTCCTGTCTCCCGTTGGATTAACTGAGAATCTGTCATCTCTTTTGTTGGCTTATTTATACCTCTTTGTGGTTTTGTTGCTATTATTATTATTGTTATAAAGTTTATAATGTGTTTAGTCACTCAGTCATGTCCAGCTCTTTGTGACCCCATGGATTGTAGCTCACCAGTCTCCTCTGTCCATGGGATATCCAGGCAAGAATACTAGAGTGGGTTGCCATGCCCTCCTCCAGGGGATCTTCCCAACCTGGGGATCGAACCCAGGTCTCCCGCATTGCAGATGGATTCTTTACCATCTGAGTCACCAGGGAAGCCCAAGAATACTGGCGTAGGCAGCCTTTCTTTCTCCAGGGGATCTTCCCAACCCAGGAATCGAACTGGGATCTCCTGCATTGCATGTGGATTCTTGCTGAGCTCCCAGGGAAGCCGCTGTTGTAATAAAGTTCATAATATTCATCTTTAACTTATTATGGTATACTTCCATATGATATTTTATCACTTCTCTTATAGTTTTAGGTCTTTACAACAATATACTTTCATTTTACCTCTCTTGCTTTTATATGCTCGTGGTCATCCATTTTACCTGTACATATGTATAAACATCACACTATAGCGTTACTATTTTTACTTTAAATGGTTAATTACCTTTTACAGAGATTTTTTTGAACTAAGAAAAATTATTTTGTATTTTGTTTATTTTAAACAAATATATTTTACATTTGCCCACAAATGTACATTTCTTATAGGGGGCTTCCCTGGAGTCTCAGGAATAAAGAATCTGCCTATAGTGCAAGAGATAACAGGAGATGCGAGTTTGATCCCTGGGTCGGCATTATCCCCTGGAGGAGGAAATGGCAAAACACTCCAGTATTCTTGCCAGGATAAATTCCATGGACAGAGGAGCTTGGCAGGCTATAGTCCATGGGATTGCAAAGAGTCGAACATGACTGAGGATGCACACATACATGTCTTGTATCCTTAATTTTTTGTGCAGATTCAGGTTTTCACCTAAGGGCTTTCCTCATAGCTCAGTCAGTAAAGAGTCTGCCTGCAATGCAGGAGACCCGGGTTCTACTCCTGGATTGGGAGGATCCCCTGGAGAAGGAAATGGCAACCAATTCCAGTATTCTTGCCTGGAGAATCCCATGGACTGAGGAGCCTGGAGGGCTATAGTCCATGGGGTCGCAAGAGTTGGACGCGACTTAGCAACTGAACCACCACAGATTTTCATCTAACATTTTCTTTCTGCTGAAAGACTTCAACATTTCTTGCAGTGTAGATATGGTACTGATGAATTCTTTTAGCTTTTGTGTGTTTGAAAATATATTTCACCATCTTTTTGCTTTGTTTTGTTTTACATATTTAGAAATTTGCTTTTTGGCATATGAATCATATTGTTTTGTAGTAATGTCATTGACATATAAATTGTGTAAGTGTACACTCACCCATTTGAAGTTAGCAATTCAATCATTTTTAGTAAAATCACAGAGTTGTGCATGACCACAGTCAATTTTAGAACATTATCATCACCCCCAAAATGAAATCCCCTTCCTCAACTCCCCCCATCTCTGCCAGCTCTAGGCAACCAGTAATCTACTTTCTGTCCCTATAGATTTGTGTGTTCTGGACTTTTCATGTAAATGTAACCATACAATATGTGGTCTTTTGTGGCTAGATTTTTATCACTTAACATAATGTTTTCAAGGGTCATTTGTTGTGATATGTATCAGTACTTTATTTTCTCCATTTTTTTCTTTTTGTCAATGTATTGATATACAGCATTTTATTTACTAATTCATTAGTTGGGTGAACGTTTGAGTTGTTTCCATTTTTGGCAATTATGAATAATGATGCTATGAATATTTGTGTACAAGATTTTGTATAGATATATGTTTTCATTACTCTTGGTTATACACCTAAAATTGGAATTTCTGGGTTAATTGGCAGCTCTATGTTTAAACTCTGGAGGAACTGAGATACTGTTTTCCAAAGGAGCTGTACCATTTTACATTTCTACTAGTGATGCATGAGAATTCTAGTTTGTCTGCATCCTTGCCAACACTTGTTGTTATCTGTCTCTTTTATTAGTCTTCTTAGTGGATATGAAGTGATAGCTCATTGTAGTTTTGATTACCATTTTCCTAATGGCTAGCCATGTTAAGCATCTTTTCACCTAGTTATTGATTTACTTTGGAATAATGTCTATTCAAATTATTTACCCATTTTTAACTAGGTATTTGTCATTTTATTATTAAACTTAAAGTGTTCCTTGTATATTTTAGATCTAAGTCCCTTATAAGATACATGAATGGCAAATATTTTCTACCCCTCTGTGTGGCTGTATTTTCATTATTTTGATTAGATCCTTTGAAGGACAGAGGTTTTAAGTTTGATGAAGTCCAATTTATCTATTTTTAATTAGTTGCTTATGTTTTTAGTGTTGTACTTAAGTCATCATTGTCTACTCTAAGATTTCTCCTTGTACATATTTTTAAAGAATTTTATACTTCTAGATCTTACATTTAGGACTATGATTTATTTTGAGTTAATTTTTGTATATGGCTTGCTGACAAAAGTCCGTATAGTCAAAGCTGTGGTTTTTCTGGTTGTCATGTACAGATATGAAAGTTGGACCATAAAGAGGGCTGAGTACCTAAGAATTGATGCTTTCAAATTGTGGTGCTGAAGAAGACTCTGGAGAATCCCCTGGACAGCATGGAGATCAAACCAGTCAATCCTAAAGGAAATCAACCCTGAGTATTCATTGTAAGGACTGATGCTGAAGCTGAAGCTCCAATACCTGGACCGCCTGATGCAAACAGCTGACTCACTGGAAAAGACTCTGATGCTGGGAAAGATTGAGAGCAGGAGAAGGGGGCGACAGAGGATGAGGTTAGATAATATCACTGACTCAATGGACATGAGTTTGGGCAAACTCCAAGAGATAGTAAAGGACAGGGAAGCCTGGCGTGCTACAGGTCACGGGGTCACAAAAAGTCAGAAACAACTTAGCAACTGAACAGCAACAACAAGGTAGGGTTCAATTTCATTCATTTGCTTATATATATCCAGTTACCCCTGCGCCATGTGTTGAAAAGACTTCAGCTTACCTTTGAAAAATATTTTTACTTGATGTAAAACTCCAGACTGCCATATTTTCTACCAGCACTTTAGATATATTGATCTTCCATTTTCTGGATTGCATATTCCCAAGGAGAAATTTATCTTTGGGAGAAGGAAATGGCAACCCACTCCAGTATTCTTGCCTGGAAAATCCCATGGACAGAGGAGCCTGGTGGGCTACAGTCTATGGGGTCACAAGAGTCAGACACGACTTGGCAACGAAATCACCACCACCTTGTATATAGTGTATCTGTTTTTTTTCTTAATGAGTATTTTTCATTACCACTGGTTTTAAGCAATTTGATGTGCATTCATGTCATTTTACTCATGTTTCTTAAGTTTGGGTTTGTTGAGCTTCTTAGATCTGTGGGTTTTCATTGTATTTGGAATGCTTTCATTCATTATTTCTTGAAACATGTTTTCTGTTTCCTACCTCCTTCAAGGACTCCAGTTACACATATTTTCAGCTGACTGAAGTGCCTACACTGATACTCTGTTCATTTCTTTCAGTCTCTTTTGTTTCATTTTGGAGAGTTTATATAGCTATGTCTTCCAATTCACTAATATTTTCTTCTGCGATGTCTAGTATGTTGTCAATCCTGTCCAGTGTATTTTCTTGTCAGCCATTGATTTAGTCACCTAAGTTTGATTTAGATCATTTTTATATAATCTATGTTATGCTTTTCTACATAATCTTGAAATATATGAAATATAACTGCATCAATAGTCTTGTGTAATTATTGTATCATCTGTGTTATTTTGGAACATTCCTATCAGTTGATTTTTCTTTCCCCTATGGGTTGTATTTTCTTACTTCTTTACATGCTTCATAATTTTTATTGTATTCTAGATATTGTGAATTTACCTTGTTAAGTGCTATATATTTTTTACTATTTTAAGTAATCTTGAGCTCTGTTCTGAAATGCAGTTAATTTACTTTGAAACATTTTGATGTTTTCTTTTTTTTTTCATTTTGATCTTTTCAAGACTTGTTTTCAAGCCTTGTTAGGTAGAATAAGAGTAGCTTTAGATCTTAGGCCGATTCCTCTTTACTGAGTTATCTACCTGATGCACTGAATTATAGGTTTTCCACTCTGGCTAGTGAAAATACAAACTATTCTCTACTCCGGTAATTGTTCTTCCTGTCCTCTGGTGATTCTTCCCTGGCCTAAGGTAGTTCCTCACATGCAGTTCCTCATTATTGGTCAGTTGAAGACTTGATAGGAACATTCTACAGATCTCTTGAGCTCTCTGCAAAATTCTGTTTTCTCCATGCCGTTCTCTTCTCTCCTGTACTTTTCTCTTATGCATTCCAGCTGTGTTTGCCTCCCCTAACTTTCAAATCTGTCTCTTCAGCTCAAGGAGATCACTTGTTTGAGTTTCCCCTTTTCTGGTTGTGGCCTGGAAACTTTATCTGAGGAGTAAGTTGGGATAATCATGGCACTCTTTTCATTTGTTCCACTTACTTTAGGGATCACTATTCTGTACTGTTTGTTGTCCAATGTCTAAAAGTGATCGTTTCATATATTTTTGCTAGTTTTCTAGATATTTAACTGAAGCACAGAGGGAGGGAAATCTAGTCCCTGTTACTCCATCTAGACTAGTAGCCATAGTCTTTAAGAAATGTTTTATCCCATTCTCTCCACTCTGAGTGGTTTCATCATTGGGAATAGGCTGGGTTATTTCTTGTAACTTCAGTGTTAGGTCTTCTGGATGTTCCTCCACTGTGAACTTCCCAGTGTTAGGCACCATGGGAGGTTTATAGTGATATATGATATTATGCTGTCTTTTGTTCGTTTCAGATGTACTTGTCTAGTTTTCTCAATCAGATTGCAAGTTCTCTTAAAGTCAGGGACCCTCCATACCTTATATTTTATGCCAAACCCTCACCAAACTAGACACATTTATTTATTTATTAAATATTTAATTGGCTGCATCAGGTCTTAGTTGCATCACTTGGGATCTTTCCTTGCAGAACATGGGGATTATCTAGTTGTGGCCTATAGGCTCTGAGGCACGTGGGCTCAGCAGTTGCAGCACATGGGCTCAGTTGTTCCAGGGTATGTGGTATCTCAGTTCCCCAACCAAATTCATACTTGCATCTCTAGACTGGCAGGTGGATTCTTAACCAGTGGACTACCGAGGAAGTCACCACATTTATTTTTTGACTGTTACTCAGCCTTTACTTAGTGAAAATTCCATCTGAAGTGTTAACAAATAATACACTTGGGATGAGAGTTTATGTCAAGCATCAGTGTTTAAATGCTATGAGTAAAAATGAATGCTGATTCATCCACCATAGTTATATATATGCAGGCAGGAAGAACTACCACTACCGCTCTCACTGTGGTCAGCAGGGAATTTTTTTTTTCTGATTACCCACCAAGATTGTTAGTATCTTTTTAAGGTGATAATAATAGTAAAAAAATAATGCAGATATCAAATCTGTAGAAAATCTACAAAGTAAGCAGTCAGTTCTTCAGTAACTGAGCACTTTCACTCTTCATATAAAAGCACATGTGAAAATCAGTCAAAATAATTATTGCTGAAGTAATATTTAATTAGATCATTTTGAAATTTTGCTTTTGCCACCAATGAATTGTTATTAATACCACTCTAAATAGAAATAACAGAAGTTAAAATGATCTCTTTATCTGCTTTAATATTCTGGTAGGATACAGGAAGAGAGTACAGTACAATTTCATTCCCTGCCTCCACAACAAATACGTCCTCAATCAACAGTAAATATATTCCAAGTTTGTTTCTAGTGTTGAGGATGCTGCTGAAGGGAACACAGAGATGCCTTGCTCTCATGGCATATTCCCTTCATATATAAATATTCCATATTTATATATGGAAGCTTCATGTAGGTAAATAGTGTAGCATATTTATAATATGTGAGGAATTATGAGCTCATCAAATCATTGGTTGAGTATCTCATATATTCCAGACATTTTCCTTGGGGCTTATGTTACACAATGAACAAAACAGACAAATTCCTTTCTTCCATGAAGCTTATATTTGGGGTAGGGGGGCAGTCAAATAGGTAAACAAATATAAAGCAGGTGGTAGCTGCTCTGAAGAAAAATAAAGCAGTAAGATGGATTAGATAATCATACTAATAATAATGAGGGAGCTCTTATTTACGTAGGGTGGTCAGGGAAGGCATCTCTAATGAGATGTGCTATTGATACAGACCCTTGATGAAGTGAGGGAACTAGTTTTCTAGCAGACTGTTCAGGGGAGCCGTTCCAGGCTGAGGGGAAATTGCAAGTGCAGATGCTCCTATGTATGAGTGGGCTTGGTGTGTTTGAGTGAAACTAACAGAGCCAGGAGAAAGTGCTAGGAAGTGTGGCTAAAAGGGATGAGCAGGGTCAGATCAAAGAAGGCAGTGCAGACTATAATAGAGTCACTGTGTTGTACTTGGAAGCGGAAAGCCAGAGGAAGATTCTGAGCAGAGGAGAGACATGACCACATCTATATCATCAAATGATTGCTCTGACTGCTACTGAGACAACAGACTTTGGGAAGGCAGGGCAGAAGCAGGGAGAAGAGTAAGGAGGCTATTGCAGTCTTTCAGGTGAGAGATGATGGTGGCTTGGCCTGTAGTTTTAACATAGGAGGTGGTCAGATTCTGGGCATATTTCAAATGTTTATGCTGAGTGAAAGAAGTCAGACCAAAAAAAAATACATAATGTATGATCCCATTTATATCAAATTCTAAAAACTACAAATCAATCTGGAGTAATGTTGGGGTCCTTTAATGGACCGGAACCTGGTGGTCCGGAGTCGACAATAAGAAAGTAAAAGAAGGCAAGAAGCTAATATTCCCCAGGTTTTGCAGCCGGCGTTTGTGCTGCAGGGAATCAGCCAGAAATAGAGAGAGAGAGAGAAAGAAAGACACGGGGACCCAAGTCTCTGGTGGAGCAAGGGTGCTTTATTGAATTCTGTAAGAGTATACATACCGTATTACAAGGTAGCTTCTGCAAATAAAGATCAAAAGACCTGACTTTACAAGTTACCAAGGAAACAAGGAGCAATAGAGGCCATAAGGCCAAAAGGCAATCCATATCAAAAGAGGGTCATAAATAATCCTTTTCACCAAGTGGAAAAGCTAATGAAGGAAATCCTATGCAAGCATCCCATCTCTAGGATTTCAGTCCTGGGAGCGGACTGATAAGGCAGAGGGCTTAAGAGAGATAGGAAACAGCACACAGGAATCTTACTGTTAAACATTTCCTGACAGAGTAATAGAGGGTTTTTTGGAGACAGGCAAGAGAGGGGAGGGAGGGATGGCAAAGGAGCATGAGGACTCTTCAGGGGGATGGATATGTTCATTGCCTTGATTGCCGTGGTAGTCTCATGAGTGTATACATGTCAAAACTTATCCAGTTGTAGAGTTTGTGTGCATGTGCATGCTAAGTTGCTTCAATCACGTCGAACTCTTTGCGACTCCATGGACTATAGCTCACCAGGCTCCTCTGTCCATGGGATTCTCCAGGCAATAATACTGGAGTGGGTTGCCATGCCCTCCTCCAGGGATTCTTCCTGACCCAGGGATTGAACCAGAGTCTCTTATGTCTCTTGCATTGGCAGGCAGGTTCTTTACCACTAGTGCTACATGGCAAGCCCCAATTGTACACTTTACATATGTGCAATTTACTGTATGTCAATTATATCTCAAACAGATTTCCCTGGTGGCTCAGATGGCAAAGAATCTGCCTGCAATGCAGGAGACTGAGGTTCTATTGGTGGGTCAGGAAGATCTTCTGGAGAAGGGAATGGCAACCCAGTCCAGTATTCTTGCCTACAGAATTCCATGGACAGGGGAGCCTGGCAGGTTACAGTCTGTGGGGTTGCAAAGAGTTGGACACAACTGAGTAAATCTCTGCCTATCTGCCTATACCTCAATAAAGTAATTTAAATAAAGGGTGCCCAGGATTATCTGATGGATTGGACTTGGGGTATGAGACAAAGAGGAGTCAGAATAGTTTGTAAGTTTTTGACTTGAACATCTGGAAAATAGAATTAAATGACCAGTTGTTGAGATAGGGAATATTGAAAGGAGCATGGCTTGAGAGAGAAAATAAGAAGTTTGGTTTTCAACATATTAAGTTGGGGATGCCTAATAGACAAAACTAAGATTCTAAAGCAAAGAAACACATGATAGAAAAGAAATGAAGAACTCCTCATGGCAATACTATTTCCACAGTCACCTAATCTGTTGTATATTCTCTCCCGACAGCATGGGAACGACACTGGACCAGTGGGACATCTCATGGTCCCTGTAGATAACTGTGAACTCTTTCTCGTCTTTTTCCTTATTCAACATTATGGTTTGCATAGATGGATGACATTCTTTCCTCTTGCTTTTAAGGAATCCAATCAGTTTGGGAAACTAATTAAAGGGTTTGATTAGGCCAAGGCATTTGGCCTTGGCAGAGACTATAGAGAGAAGCCCCTAGTCACAGACAAATGCAATGTCTTCATCTTGAAAATGAAGATAGTAACAAGACCTACTACTGTTGTGAAGATTAAACAAATTGATACATATGAGGACTTTAGAATACCACCTGGACATAAAGAAAACACTCAATAAATGTAAGCCGCTATTAACTAGCTTTTCCTTCCTAACAACTTTTGCTCATTGTCATTTTGATGTTAGTTTCCCCTAAATTGTGGGCTTCTTTAGACAAAGGCCTGATATCTTGTCTGTTGATCTACATGTTTGCCTTCACCACCCTAGTGTTTTGTCCAGTGTCTGGCCTAAAATGGTAGCATAAAATGGAATTTCAACATATTGGCATTGAATTAAATTATTCTCCCCTTATGGACAAGAGCTGCTCAGTTGGCTCAGACGGTAAAGAATCTGCCTGCAATGTAGAAGACCCTGGCTCGATCCCTCAGCGGGGAAGATCCCCTGGAGAAGGGGATGGCTACCTATTCCAGCATTCTTCTCTTGACAGTATCCTTTTTGGACAGAGGACGCCGGCGGGCTACATTCTATGGGGTCAAAGAGAGTCGGACACGACTGAGCAACTAACACTTTCAGTTTCTTATGGATAAAACCCCCAGAAGCTGAAGATCTCAGCATGGGGACCCATTGACCACCTCCACCCCCCAGGGCTAGGGGACAAGGGGTGCAGAAAAAGGCCAAGCAGAACACCGGCTCTAATGTACACCACTGACCCATCATTCTGCTGACCTCTCCTTTTCCTATAAGGAAATCACGGGATGGGGATGCCCCCCAAAACTCCTGGGAGTCAAGAGGGAATCTCGAACTGGAGACCAGCAGTGGAAAATCGTGGGTGGGATTTGGTAGTTAGGAAAAGGAAGTACCAAACCAAGAAGGGGAGGTGAGGATGAGCCAGTTTGGGAAGGACCAGATATCGGAAGCTGCAAGAAAGGGGTCAAAGAAGACCTGCTGTTGGGATGGCGCGGGATGGGGGATGCAAGGTGGAAGAGCAAAGTGAGCGAGGAACGGAGTCTCGCGGAGGGTCGACGACGCAGGGACCGAGGCAAAGGCACGCGATTGGACGAGGAGGAAGAGAGAGTCCCGGTTGCCAAGGCAGCCACCCGACAAGGAGGCCTCGGCAAGGAGGTGGGAGCGCGCGTCCTCCTCCTCCTCCGCGACCCCCGTGGTCCCCTGCCCGAGGCCGCGCTGACGTGTCCGCCGCGGACTCACAGGCTCGGGGCATCGCGGGGGCGGGAGCTCGGCCGCCCCGCTAGCCGACCCGGGGGGCGCAGGCCGGGAGGGCGGAGCGCCGGGTCGGGGGGAGGGCGACCTCCGGGTTCCGGCGTCTGTCCCCTCCGGCTCTCCGGGCGTCGGGGCCAGGCGGCCTCGGTGATGGGGTCTCTGCCTCCCACTTGTTGCCAGCTTTTCATTTTTCCTTCGCGGACGGAGGCGGGGGATGGGGTGGGGTGTTCGGAGGTGGCCCCCCGGTTTCCCCGGGGGCCGCTCACAACGTCCCCTCCCCCGGCCCGCCCCGGCTCCGAAGGGAGATGGGGTTGCGCGTCGCGCGCCCCGGGCTCCGCACGCTGCCTGCGAGCGCTTTCCTGCCCCCGTCGCCGGGTCCACGCTGGGTGCAGTCCGGGGGCGGATGCGCCAGGGACTCGGTGGGCGTCTTCCCTGCCGCAGGATGCTAGGGCTCGGAAAAGCCTCCCTGGCGCAGCCCCCTTCGCCCCTCTGCTTCAGTCAGATTCGGGGCTCGGACCGCCTTTTCTACAGGGATTGGAGTCGAGGTTTGGGACGAGCCCGGAGTCCAGGCATGCGGTGTGTTCCAAGGTCTCCTCCCCGGCTCTGCCTCAGTCCTGTCATTTCTGTGCTTGGAAGGCTCCCGCAAATAGCCCGGCAGGGAGGGCACCGGGAAGGCCAAAATGTGTCTCTCGAAAGAGGCCGAGACTCTGCATCGGCCACCTGGTACCAGTTGTCTACAGTGCGCAGGAAGCGGAATTGTTCCCTCACCGCGAATTCGGGGAGGACTGGGGGTAGTGAGAAGGGCAGAGATCCCCAGACTCAGATGAAGAAGATTGTTAAAGTGAAAATAATAAATACTCCAGAGGTTTTATAAATCCAGCCAGCTTGAGCTGGATGTCAGTTGCATTGTCAGTTTCATTGTTGGGCTCTCTTCCTGTGTGTTTGCCTTGGCCCCTATCGTCGTTGTGGTCTCAAATAACCTTGTAACTTACAACCATTTCACACAAGGTTGTTCTTGTGTTGTAATCAGTGTATATAGAAAAGCGTTCCTTCTGAGGCCAAAGCCTACAGTTTAGCTATTTAGATTGAAATCAGTGTTATTAAAAAACAGATTTCACAATCGGAAGAACCGTAGCACTGCCACATCATTAGGGGAAAGAAAGGAGGCTGTCATGGATCTGTTTAAGCCATTCCTAGAGGTAACCCTAAGACTGATGTAAATAAACGCTACAAAACTGGAGCAACTTCCATGAATTTCTCCTGCAGTTTTCTCAGAGTAAGTCCAGGTTATCAGCAAGCAGTGTTGGATATGGCCAGTGTTGGCTATGCTTTGCTTTCAAACACTATCCTGCCCGGGTACCTCAAAACGAGTCAGCTGGAAAATTATAACATCCCTGATACTTGCTCAGTATGGAGACATGGTGTTAGAAGGGCCCTTGGGTGTCACATAACTGGAAAAATGGCGTGTGTCCAAACCAATGTAGCCAAAGGCAATAGCCAGCAGCTAGAGCAGGGTCTGGTCCCCTGTTGTGTTGCATAAAGTGTTTGTTTCGTAAGGTGTGTCCATGTTAGCTGTCCTGTGTGCTTTTCAGACAGCTGCCCCGCAGTGTGCATTGTGTCCTCATCTGATTTATTGTTATCCCTCTGCAGTGATCTTCCTATTTCCGATTCTGATAGGATCCTCTGCCTATCAATTCAAGAATTGTCCATCACCTTCAACTTTGCCTCTCACTTAGTTATATCTGAATTAGGATGCTGACGTGTATTAAAGTAATCAGCTTCAAAATCCAAATAACCCCCTTTAAATCCGTGTTTGTCCCTCAAATATGTATGTGAAGATACATCTTAAGGTGCTTATTGCCAGTTGGCTCTTAGAACAAGTGTTATTTCCGTTTCATCCTTCCTTTTGTCTGCTATTTAATTGCATTTGTTGTCCATTTCATTTGACAACTGTGTATTTGTCAGAGAATACACAAACACAGAGAAGCTGTGTATTTGGCCAACAAAAAGAAAAATACCACTTCTACCAATTTCTAGATTGAATATAGTTTAAAGTCCTGCATTTTAAGACTGAAGGTAACTACTGGACAGTTCTCATGGTTTTGCTTGCCCCTGCCATGTATGATTTTGCTTGTAGAAACAAAACCTGTTTGCCCACTTCTGATTTTGTTTATAGAAATAAAGAAACCTCCTTAATGTTGGATATATTCAATATTATATGCTTTCAGAAAATATTATCTTATGTGATTGGATCCATAATTGGGTATGATATCCCTTCCCATTGATTTATCCAGATACTCACAGAACAGCTTGACTGCAAGTGAAGTGGATGGTGTTTACTGTTGCACAGGAGCAGTTACAGCCACTTAAAGATAGGGCCTTTTAGTGGTTAGTTCAAGTTAATTGACCTCCTGGGGGTTCTTGGGTGCTCTCCCCAGTTACTTATTACCACTGCATGTAGTCATCCTTAACACTAGTTGCATGTGCTTGAATTTACCCAACTGCAAAATGAAGCTTTTTATAATTATGAAACAGCAAAGACTGAAAACTGGATGGTTAGAGAGGGAACCAAGAGTTTCACTCGAGACCAGCCATGTGTGGCAGTGGACGCGTTGCTTTTTGTCTGCATTATCCATAGAGAAAAACGGGGCAAGTTTACCTCTCTCCTGGCTACTTGCAGGGGAATGTGCTAATGTATAACGACACAGCCCTATAGGTGCTCTGAGCATATGAGTTGAGGATGGTTGGTTTCAGAGAGTACTGGAGAAGCTTGATTGTTATTTACAGTGGATTGTTATGTTTCCTGATAAATCAGTATTTGAAAGTTGAATCCTGATACCCGCTTTTCTTCCCTCCCTCTTTGTATACAGTGTTAATGTACCGGGGTGAAGCTCTGGAAGATTTTACAGGCCCGGATTGTCGTTTTGTGAATTTTAAAAAAGGTGACTCTGTATATGTCTACTATAAACTGGCAGGGGGATCGCCTGAAGTTTGGGCTGGAAGTGTAAGTAAAAATTTGAAAAAAAAAAAAAAAATTTGAGCTAATTTTCTGCCTTTTTATTGACTTGTTTAGCACTGTAGATTTAAGTAGCCACAGTTTCCGGGGGTCTTTGATGGAGTTAACTTGTCCCCTCTGCTTGACTGTGAGATGGGGCTCGTGTGTTCCCTGCTGGCTTCAGGCCTGGTGCAAAAGACGGTCTCCAGCAGAAGTGAACTGCTTCCAGCTGCTGCTCCTGAGTCAAGCTCTCGACCTTACCAGCCACGAGTGCTCCATACGTAGCAAATAAGGACGTGGTGTATATATATACATACACACACACAGGATTCAGTTCAGTTCAGTCTATCAGTCATGTCCGACTCTGCAACCCCATGGACTGCAGCTCGCCAGGCCTCCCTGTCCATCGCCAGCTCCCAGAGTTTACTCAAACTCGTGCCCGCTGAGTTGCAATAGAGTATTATTCATTCATAAAAAGACTGCAGTCTTGCTATTTGCAACATGGATGGATTGGAGGGTGTTGTTTTATTGAAATATGGCAAAGACAAATACTGTATGTTATCATTTATAAGTGGAAGCTAAAAAGTAAGACAAGTGAATGTAACAAAACAGAAGCAGTCTCACAAATGCAGAAAACAAACTGGTAGTTACCGATAGTGAAACCTGAAACTTCACTTTGAAACTTATTAACTTCATTGTTTCAAAAAGGAAGGATTCGTGAGCATCAGACTTAATCCTGTAAAATATGGGCAAAGTAGTGTTTTAGGCATTCCTGTTAAGAGTTGATTTTTTAAAAGAATTATTTTCTGAACTGTTAACATACCTAATCATGTGCGCTGTTCCTGTTAAAAAAGCAAAATGTCATTTTTGCTGTGTGCTTTCCTGTTTGCTTGTTTTGCTTGCAACTGCCGGGGCATCCTTTTCCTGCTCTTTGGACACTTGCTCCCACAGGCTCTTCCCAGCAGGTCTTTTCCCAGTCAGCTCTGTGGGTGCGGGCATGGCAGACATGGAGATTCATGACTTTGTCATGCCTTGATATTTTTAATGAGGTGATTCACTGGAAGTGACCTGATTGGGAGGCTTTATGAGCTTTCCTTTCTATGTGATGTGTTGCCTGATTATTTATTGAAAGTAGTAAGAGTCCTGAATACCCTAAGGATCGTCCAAACTTACAGAAACACTCAGTCCCAAAGGTGAACATTTTCACTCTCTGTAAATCAAACAACAGAAAAGAAAGCTTAAGAATCCCCTATCGGGGAAAACCAGATTTATTTTGTTGGCAGTCCAGATTCCTAGGGAGGAGTCCAGTAAGACCAACTGGTCAGGTACAACCTTTCTATTTAGGCAGAATCCCAGTTGAATGGCTCGGATGCTGAAGAATCTGCCTGCAATGCAGGAGACCTGGGTTTGATCCCTGAGTCGGAAAGATCCCCTGGNCAGGGAGCAGCACTTGTTTCCATTTGTCCCAAGTGTAGCTTATGCAGAATTTGTTCTCTTGAAACAATATTCTTTTCCCAAATCAAATCAGCAGAGATGAGATACGGAAGCAAGATTAGATATAAAAGTTACCTTCAGTCATGAGGGCCTATGGTTCTGCATCTTTTTGTCAGATCCTAAGAAACAGGACCCACTCGATGTAAAAATTTATGGAGTTTTTTACGACCTGTGGTCTCAGTTGACAAACATCACACCAAGATAAATGTATTTCCTTTTCACATAGCTCTGATTTCTTTCCCTTTTCTAGATTCTCTTAATAAACTGTTCCTGAGAAGAAGAAAACTGTATTTTCTCTCAGCCTCCCCTCTCATTTCATGACTAGAAACTCTGTCTCTTGAGCTTTCAAGATGGTTCTTGCTTCTATTTCTTAGTTTTCATTCTGCAGTGTTTTGGGGGTTTTTTTGTTTTTTAGAATTTTATACTTTAACTGCCAGTGTAGCAATTTAGAATTGCACTGTCTTATCTAATCTTAAAGGCAGTGTTCCAGTAAAACTGGCTTTCACAGAGTTGCCAGATATAACAAAAGCTCTCATAATGCGGATATTTTAGGAGTTAGTGATAAGATACCCTCTTTTTTTTTCTCTTTCTATGCATTTGATCTGCATGTCAGTCTCCTCCTTTATTGGTTGGGAAGAGATCTGCTACTCCCTTTCAGACTATAGTTAGTAAAAGACAGTGTGTGTTTCTCAAGAGGACACACAATATATTGATAATAATAATACCTTTTAGGTCTCCTTGGTGGCTCAGTCAAGAGACCACCTGCAATGCAAGAGTCCTGGGTGGTTCAGTCCCTGGATCGGGAAGATCCCTTGGAGAAGGAAGTGGCAACCCACTCCAGTATTCTTGTTGGGAAAGCTGTTAGTGCTATAGATAAATGGGATTATCTTCTGTCTTTACTTGCATGAAACTAAGCTTGCTGTGTAGATTTGTATGAATTTTATTTTCTCCCACAAACCTTGAAAATCTAGTTTGGAAAAAGCTAGTGCAGCCCATGGTATCAGTCAATATTTGCCTTTTGTTGTACTGGTCATGCATTTCAGAAATGGTTGGTTTTTTTTAAAAACTTATTAATACATCTAAGACCTGGTTTATGAGCAATGCTGTGAAATGTGCAGATAAATTCTTGTTAGAGGGTATTTGAAATTCTTTCTACCCAACTTTTATTTACATAGTTTTAATTGCATAATATACACTAACTTTCTCTTGTATAGATCTTCTAGCTATTTCAGAAATCTCACTGTATGTGCCCTGTGTTTAGAATTAAGTTGAATATTGAACGAAAATTTCAGTGGTTTTAGAAAATTTGTCCATACAAAATTTTGTACTTAATTTATATTGGAATAATAATCTCTGTAATCATAATAGCAACTATCTGTCTCTTGTGGTTATATCTACCTATCTGTATGTTTCTTCTCACTACTTAGAAGTCTCTCGTTTATGTTTCTCATAAAGAATTTTGATTGATGCTCATTTCTTCTGCTGTTTTTTAATGTAGGTTGGGCGCACTTTTGGATATTTTCCAAAGGATTTAATCCAGGTGGTCCATGAATATACTCAAGAAGAGCTGCAAATTCCAACAGATGTAAGTTGTGGATTCTGTTGTTGTTCTCAGTTATAAATTGACTTATAAATTCATCAATTACACTTAATTAACTAATTTTGAAAGTCTCTGAATGTGTTTTGATCAAAAAAGGGAAAACAAGTTAACATCTATGTATGAGATTTTAATTTACCAGACTACCTTTAAAGAAAAGAGAAGTTTGAAAACAATTTATGGGAGACTTTGTATCACAATCCGATAGTTCTGTGTTGAAGCGGGTGTTCTTGTACAAGGCTGTGTATGCTTATTCAGGATTTTTATTTGCTACTTGATATGAGAAAAAAATAATTCAGTATCTTTGTATTTAGTTATTAAATTTAGGAAGTAAATACTTTTATTTTTACTTTATTTACTTCAAATTACTTGAAGTAATTTTTTTTTTTACTTCAAGCAAGATGAGAAGTTGTCTCAATACTCACTGAATAGCCTTTAGACATTTCGAGTATATAGAAATCAGGTTAAATTAATCAAACCTGAAATTATGTATTAGGCCATAAAGTTTTCTTTTGGACTCTAATGATTTAAGGGATTAGAGTTATGGGATGGATTCTGGAAAAGAGAACCTGAATGTTTCACACAAGATCCAGCCTCAGTCGAAATCTCAAATCTGCAGGTCCTGACTGCACAGTCTGGAAAGCATTCATCCCGGGTGTACTAACTTAAGTAGCTTTGTAATGACAAGGATTTTGTGTTCTGGGATCCTCACTCCAGCTGATTATTTTCTGGAGTTTTAAAATTAATAAGAATTGAAACCCACCTTCAAACAGAAATCTTTGAGCAACTCTTTGGAGTCGCTGCGAGAGCATGCAGGCTGCTGGCCGGGGGCAGGTGTCAGCCGAGCTCTGCTGAATAGATGAAGTCACAGAACCATTGCTATTTTTGAAACTTTCTGTTTTCCCAAGGGTCATGAAATCAGCCTGATTGCCTGTTAGTCCTTGCTCCTAATGAGGATACTGCTGGGAGGGAAATATACGCTAGACAGCAGCTCATGGGTCACAGAGACCTCATTTGTTAGGGATTCTGCCTTCTGATTGCACCTCTCACTCCATGCTTCCCTCAACGTGAAGAAATGGCTTAGAAAGGCACGTGGGGAGCAGAGGAATCATTCGTTCCTGCCACACTTGTCAGGTCTCTCCAAGGACTGTGACAGTTTAGTTAGGAGAAGGAAATTATCTTTGTTGGTTTTTAAACTTTTCCCTCTGTTTAATGGAAAGACTAGAGATCTCTTGAGAGATACCAAGGGAACATTTCATGCAAAGATGGGCTCAATAAAGGACAGAAATGGTAGGGACCTAACGGAAGCAGAAGATATTAAGTAGAGGTGGCAAGAATACCCAGAAGAGCTGTACAAATAAGATCTTCATGACCCAGATAATCATGATGGTGTGATCATTCACCTAGAGCCAGACATCCTGGAATGTGACGTCAAATGGGCCTTAGGAGGCATCACTACGAGCAAAACTGGTGGAGGTGATGGAATTACAGTTGAGCTATTTCAAATCCTGAGAGATGATGCCATGAAAGTGCTGCACTCAATATGCCAGCAAATTTGGAAAACTCAGCAGTGGCCACAGGACTGGAAAAGGTCAGTTTTCATTCCAGTCCCAAAGAAAGGCAATGCCAAAGAATGCTCAAACTACCGCACA